CAATATAAGCACTGTGCAACAAATCATAAGAAGAATGGGTAGCTAAATACATAAAAAGTGACTAAAAATATCAGCTATCACTGTTTTGATAGATATCCCTTTCTGTTAAAAAAGAGCAAGACAAAAGAAAAAGCAAAACTAAGATTGAAAGAAAACAAGCAAATGACCAAAAAACAAAGTGAAAACACAAAACAATAGACAAATGACAGAGGATCAAGGCTTTAACAGTGACAAGCGGATAATATGAGGATCACCACATCAGTCATAAAAATTTTGCTAAATATGGATCTGCTGAAAAAGAAATTCGTAGATATTTAAACGCCTAAACAAATAATAGATCAAAAGAATGTAAAATAGCAACAACTCACTATTTTGACAACGGTTTCCATTGAATCCAGCCACACATTTACACGAGTAAGAGTTAACACCATCTTCACATGTTCCACCATTAACACATGTATGGTTGACACAATCATCGATTTCTGCAGGAGAGGAAATCAAATTAAAAAATCCTGGCAATTTCTTCATTTAAAGACAAACCAACAGCTTAGTTGAACAAAAATTAATTTTTTCTACGATACTGTTCTTTCTAATTGTCGAAAAAATGTGTTCTATTATCAATCCAACGTGCGCTTCAACTTTTTTTCAAGGAAAATTGCCAATGCTTAACCTTAAAATTGAATATAGCAAATCCTACATTCTCCTTAGAAATTTTTGAAATGACAAACCACCAATTTTACAACTAGATTCAGTGTACACACGAGTAATCATTGCTTCCATCAACACAGGAGGCACCGTTATGGCAGGATTGATTATGAAAATTACCGATATCTATCGAAAGTAAGTGATAAATACATACCGTTAAACCTTTTACCCAAATGAGGGTGACGAACCGAGCTCAAAACGCCACAAGAAGAAAAAATAAATAAAGATTGATATCCTACTGAAAGAATGAGCATTTGATTGATACAAATTGCTGTTCCCGAAACTTGCTGGTTAGCTAGTTGCCATTAGTGATGAGTTTCTAGAAACGATAACCTACTTGTTTCACAACTCTGTCCAGTGAAGTCATGCACGCATGCGCACGAGTAATCGTTGACACCATCAACACAGGATGCACCATTTTGGCAGCTATGGTTACGACAATCATCGATGTCTATCAAAAGTAAGTGACAAACAAACGAACAAAAAAAAAACATTTCGAGACCAGAGCTTTATTCAAAGAAGCGGTTGTAAAATTTTCTGCTCGTGATGGAGAAATAAGTGTTATGCACGTAGAAGTGCGCAAAGTAGATTCAGCATACTGAATTTGTTGTTTAATAGAATTTACCATTTCAAAATTAAAGTATTCCGTTGAACAAGAACATATAGACACTCGAAAATAATATATACCGTTCGCAAAACAAAGAAAATAATATAAAAAATTAATGCATTTATGAGACCCGTGTTGTAGATTTACCCTGCTTGAGTTGTTGTTTACTAGAAATTAATAAATCGCTCAGTTGGTGCTTTAGCTATTACTGGTCAATTTTGCGGGCCGTATCTGAGTGTACGGCCCTCTAATTTAAGAAGTTTGTTTTGATCCCCAAAATTTCTCTTCAAAAACGAAGTAAAGGAACAAAATTCAAAAGCAGATGTTCCAAACTTTCGAGAAAATATTTAGAAATTCGAATGAAACTAATAGTAATTTAGAATTAATGATAAAAAGGAATGATAACTAAGTAAATACATAAACCAATATTACAGTTTTAATAGATTTAGTTCCATTCGATAAAAAAGGAATTGAAAACGTTCAAAACAACAACAACAACAAATGACTAACAAAAAGCAAAAGAACAAATTAAAAAGGATATTAGTCCGAGTATCAAAACGACGAGAGAGACGAAAAAGATTTTGATAGGAAGACTATTTCAGTCATGGAATTTTTTATTAATAAGGGTCCAGCCGCTTATAAAGAAAATTTATAAAAACACTTGTAAGATTAAACAAATTTGAAGATAGATGACGAATAAATCGTCATTGTAAATAAATTAAAAGGGTAAATGTATAATAACAATAACTCACTATTTTGACAATGGTTTCCACTGAATCCCGCAACACATTTACACGAGTAAGAGTTAACACCATCTTCACATGTTCCACCATTAGTACATGTATGATTAACACAATCATCGATGTCTGTAGGAGAAAACGCTAAGAAATATGATCATCCATCATTATTTTTGGAAATTGTCTTTATTTATAAACAAACCAGCAGATTCAGCGTTTTTGTCCTTTAATACTATATTTCTGAATGTCTGAAAAAGAGTTTTCAGAAATTCCTATGTTCTTCTTGGGAATATCTGAAATGACAACCCACCAGTTTCACACTTAGATCCAGTGAAGCCTACCAGGCAAGCACACAAGTAGTCATTAACACCATCAACACAGGAGGCACCGTTTTGGCAGGTATGATTATGACAGTCATCGATATCTATGGAGAGTAGGAGGCAAAAATAAAGCGATTAAGAATTTAATGAGGAAAATTACTCCAATTTACCGAAGTACGAGTTTTAATATTTCAACAAGGCAACGAAGCAAATCGAATCTAGTACACAAATGGCTACTTATCTAACAAATTATGTCAAGCTAAACGTTGCAACTGATCATGAGGCAGCACAGAGACATGTCTGTACTATCAAGTTTTTTCCTAGATCTCTTTTGTCGGAAAGGTCGACTATATGCGTCCTTGGTGTTCATCAACTGCCGCGTTTCCTCGAGAATAATCCAAATATGGCTACGAAAAAGGTCTCAAAAAGGACTCAACTTCCTCTATTCAAAGATTGTCTCCTCGTTCACATTTAAACGATACTCTCTAGGAAATTTCTTGCAAATTTCAATTTATTTTAAGTTAATAAAACAAAGATGTGGCTTACGGAATTTTGATGATAGAGACTAAAAAGCGGGAGATAGATGTAAATTTCACGTCAGCATGGGTTATGGAATCAGTTGCCCCAAAATGTTACTACTGATTTTAAAAGTCCAGTGATGGCTTTCACTGCTCATATAGGAATAATGATCAGAAGTGGCCATCGGAGATATTGGGCCTTAAAATACCCTTAACTTATTTTTGGACTTTGTCAAAACCAGAATAAGTCGTCTTTACTTGAGGGAGAGGTAAGGGAAGAAATGCGGAAATGAAAAAGTTAAAACAATTTGATTTTCTTAAACTCTGATAGATATAAAACACAACCCAGTTGATTGAATTTACAGATGGATTTTCGGTTTGTCACAGCAGCAATTCAAGTTAGGTAATTAATTATGCCAAAAATGCTGGAAATGGGGGTTTTCTCAGGGGGACCCTATAGCTGCCAAGGAATTAAATATTTTGACCTATTATTTCGACATATTTGTTAACTCATGATACTTAGCATCTGTGCCAAGTTTGAGCCAAATCGGTGATTTTAAGTTTATCGCCCCTTGCCCGGTTTTCTCGTGAACACGTTCTTGATACCTAATATACCTACTCTAACAGTGGTTTCAGTTTCTTGAAATCAGTTTAATACATTCTTTAATGAAACTTTCTACGAGACATATGGCACATAACAATGATCGATAATGACGGCAAGATAGGCCGACAATTTCTTACCATTACCACATCGATCTCCAGTAAACCCGGCCCTACAACTGCAAGAGTAGTTATTGACGCCATCTACACATGATCCACCATTAGCACACGTGTGATTAACGCAGTTGTCTATGTCTGTAATTAATTTGACAAAACGAGAAAATTAGCAATAACTTTACAATAATGATTATTGCTTGGCAAAACGTTTTAGGTATGAAAGCTTAATTATCAGGTCGAATAGAACAACTAAATTGTGAAAAGATCTTGTATGCTAAGTCTGGGCTTAGTTTATGTCGATGTTAATGATAGCATGGAACATAATTAGAAAAGCCAATTCGTTGTTGCCCCTAAAAACTAGATTGAAGATTTGACAGCGTCACAATCTGTAAAAGTGTGGATACAAAAATTTCTACTCGCGACTGGACCATATGCACGATAAAGCAAGTCAACTTACCAATCTCACAACGATCTCCAGCAAATCCATCCAGACAGTTACATGTGTAATTGCTAATGCCATCTACACATGATCCATTGTTTCTGCATTCGTGACTTACACAGTAGTTGATGTCTAAAAGTTAACACATCCGAAATATAATCAGCTTTGTCATCAGTTTTATTTAGTATTTCGAAATGAGACAATGATCCATTTTCATTCTAGCATCTTGGGAGTAGTTTGAAAAGATGGAAATTACTAGACAGATGAATTATCAGTGACCATATCTACTTTATCGATTGGTCTTAAGCTCTATCCCTTCAAAATATAAAGCAATAATTTTGTCTTGATGGGACTAATACCTTTGCAATTCTTTCCATCTCCGGTGAGCCCCAAGGGACATGGACCACAGCTAATTCTGTCACTCTTTTTGAAGCAAGTCACATTAGAGTAACAGGAATCCTCGGTACAGTTCTCTATTTTAATATCGCAGTTTGGACCGGTAAAGCCAGCGAAGCAGTTACACGTGTAGTTATTCACTAAGTCAATACAGGTCCCTAAGAAAAACAACAAAGCAATTGGAGGCAAAATAATGCAATTAATATGGAACTAGCTATCATCATCACTGGATCTGAGGGAGTGTACGATCTTCTGCAAGCTGTAGAAATCAAATAAGTCCGAATTTTTCTTTTAATATGACTCTGCAGTAAATCAATCAAAGGGAGAATTAGGTCACCCCGTATTAGAAGGTGAAGTTAGCCCATCGTGCTCCATGGTTACTTCAGTTGCTTCATAATAAATACTAGCCGCATTTTAAAGTATAACTTCAATGCCTATGTAGCTTTAAAGAATGACCTAAAATTGCATACCATTTACACAAGGGGTTGTGAGGCAATCATTTATGTTCACATCACAACTTACACCACTGAATCCGGTTGGGCAGATACAGGTAAAGCTGTTGATGTTGTCCACACATGTACCTGAAAAAAATGGACTCATGATAGTCGGCACGGTTACTTTCATTAATCAGCAAGGAGCAGATAGATAGATAGATAGATAGATAGATAGATAGTTTATTTGAAAAACATTGCAACCGAAGGTTGAATTACGTATTCATTTACAAATTTAAGAAATATTTAAAAATTGTAACATACTTTTAAAATATTAAAAATTTGGTAACATAGATAGAGTCAGCTTATACAAAACGTGCGTAAATGATGAAAGATTAAACTATCATGGCACGTGTCCGTACGAACCACAGGTAAATTAAAAGCGCGCTTTTTCCTTAAGTGTGAGGAAATTTGAGCATGCCCCATCCCTCCACCCCTCCTTCATCGATTCTTACTCCTCTTTTGATGATAGGTCACACTTACATCGACTTTGTGTATCATTAGATTAGTTACTCAACTTGACGCCCGATCGCAATTTTTCTCGATTTTAATTAAATTTTCATTATTAAATTGCATATCAGACGGCTTTTTAATAAATGTATCATCCTTTGGATGGATGTCACCAAATGTTTTTGTATAAGGGATAGCTTTGGCTGAGGCTCTTGGCTTAAATGTAAGCATGGCGTTTTTATAGTTTGAGGCTTGTGTGAAAGGTTGCTTTTTTCGTCCTTTAGATGACTTACAAGTCACTTATGACTACTTACACAAGATTTTCTCTTATTGCAAATTGCGACCCAAGGAGTAGGTAGCATTAATAGAAATAACTCCTTGGAAATATTTGATAACGATGATAAATTGCAAGCTTAAAAGGAATATATTTTTAGTTAAAATGGTGTTGCAGAGAAGATGAGAAAATTATGTCGTAAAAAAGTTCCTAATTGGTGCTTTGAGGTTTTAAACGTCAAGAATTGAAGAGAACAACTTACAACAGTAAGATTGCGAATATTGTTCAAAATGTTGAAAATATCACCTCGGATACAGGGCGACGACAGGCATTCGTCGATTTCGACGTCACAGTCGTATCCTGTATAGCCATCATCACATGCACAAGTGTATTTGTCGACGTGATCGACGCATGCTCCTACGCGTGAAGAGAAAAAGAAAGATGATTACTCCTTAATCACTGATGAATAAATGCATCTCTTGTGCAAGTGAACTTGTTAATGGGTAGAAAGCTGGTTTGTTAACAGGAAATACCATAACGTCATGTATCAGCATGAAGTATTGCCATTGTTGTATAGCAAGATGGATACTGAAGCAAATGAATAAATTGCTAACTCACCGAATGCACAGGGAGATGACTCACATTCATCGACGTCAATAGTACAATTAAGCCCGCTATATCCAGGATCGCAAGCACATCTATATGTACCCACGTAGTCCGTGCAATTTCCTGCAGGATAAGGACAGTTTTGAGATAAGCACAAGTTAGGGCCTCTTACTGGTCCGGAGGCACAATAGTCAGAGTCAGAGAAGATTAAGTGATGGTCATCTGCGTATCGGAAAAAAATTGCGTGCAAGTCCACTATACAGCTTACTTTGCTTAGGTTTGCAGTATCCATTCCTTCCTTGGACGGGGGAACTTAAGTTGTTTCGTTTGATCGTTTCATCATTTTCTTGGTTGCCATAGTCATGCGTTTTTGAAAACTGTTAGTCTTGTCTAATAATGTCCTCTAGCCTCTAGCCATCGTCTCCATCCACAAATTTACGCTTTCAGCAAGTCACATAAATCGATAGCTCCCTCAGGTAATATGGAAATAGGATTCAGTTTCTTGGAAACCTATCATCAGCTTATCGTTGAGTTTCTTTAACCTATAATCCTTCAAAGATAGAAATTTTCCTTGATTTTTCCTTGACTTTTTGATGACCTGTGGCAACCATAGTTTGCTGAATTTTTAACTTCCCATTTAGTCCCGTTTATTTCTTGTTGATGGTAGTTCAGCTTTTGCTTGTTGTACTTACATTGACAATTTGGTTCTCTCCAGGCCCTCCCAAAACAATTTAAACTATTTGAGTTCAAGCTATATGATACTTTTGCCATAGGAGAGACATAATTTAGCCTATTATGCGACGAATACTTCTTAAAAAACTCAGTGTGTCAAAAAGAAAAAGTTAGATTTGAAAAGCGATCATTTTTCAACGAGCAGAATACTGACCATTGACGCAAGGAGAAGAACTACAGTGATCGTAATTGGTGTCACAGTCCCGACCAACATATCCAGGGTCACAATCACATTCGTACGTATTCACTCTATCGATACAGCGACCTAAGAAGAAGAAATTAATACATTTGTTAATTTGAATTCATACAAAGGAGTTGAAAGAAGCTTTTCCCAGGATCGCATTGGAGGTGGCACATCGACCAAAAATTACCATCCCAGTATTTTGGGTACAGCTACCTTACGGTGAACTTGGAAATGTAATATAGTTTTATTGCCCAGAACCGCCTCAGCATTGTAAAAAAGAAAAAAAAAAACCTACAAAAGGCGCCATAAACCCTCGACCGGAGGTAAATGACTTTAGGTCATCTTAAGCGCAAAAGAAAGCAAGCCAACGTTTAATTGATATATCTCTACAGAAGGGATCAAGGAATGATTTGTCTAAGACGGATCCACGTCTTTCAATTTTAGCCTTGTGTCGCGTTTTTGAAAGTCACATAGTTTTATATCGAAATACCACATTTTATGTACAACAAATTCGCAATAAACATTTCCCAAAAGGAGATAACTCAAAAATAGTTTTAAAAGTGGAAATCGTATTCATTTAATACAATGAGGTTCGTGACAATCGAAACAATGGGTGTCGAAAGTCACAAATTATAACGAATATCAGTAGTTGGCGCCGTATTCGATCAGGAAATCAATTTGGCAACCTTACCTTGCTGTGAATATGGTGAAATTATAATTTTGTTTTCAAATATTTTTTTTTTGAGAAAAAAACAATATCCGTTCCCTTTTTGCCTTTCTTCTCAGCTTCAATCGTTCTGTACAGTTAGGTAACTTTTTCCCTTTAGATGGAAAAAATCATGATTTCCTTTTCTTTCCTAATTTTCTTTTCATGATGGCCTATATTTCTTATTAGTCTCCTGGAGCGACATGATGTACAATGAATTGCTAAAAATGAAAACCCATATTCCTCTCAAAATTTTTGAGAAGGAGAGCATTAGTCACCTTACCTCGAAAGCATGGAAAGGACCGGCACTCGTCAATGTTAGTCTCACATTTATCCCCAGTAAATCCTGGTAAGCAATTACAAGTATAGAACCCTGATCCTCTCGGATAGTTTGGGTGGGGTACACAGGTTCCGTTATTCTTACACTGGCAGACAACCAAGGACACGGTGATGTTAGCATAAGATGTGGCTTGACAAGCGTCTGTTGCTTTGAGAAAAAACTTAGTCGAGGCCTCATTGGTGGCTTTCCATGTTAAAACATTGTCGACGATTGACGCCTCAGTTGGGCTTCCTTGCATTAGTGAAGGGGTAACAGGCATATTTTCTGGGTCTGCAACATCAATGGGCAGTTCAAGGGTTTCTCCAGATACCACGAAGTAGTCAGAGGTTGACGAAAACTTGGGTGGCAGATTCACTAAAATTTTCAAAGCGTCACCATTTATTGGAAAATATTTCAACAAAATAATTCTTTGAAGGACCTTAGACGCAAAATGAGCGAACTGAGGCTCGTTTATATTTACATTTATAATTATCTCAGTTTAGGTGCAAAGGTTTAAGTACAATCGCCATAAAGCGAAAATTGATTTTAAATAAATCATCATATCTCAAAATGTGTAGAACATTGCTCGTTTAACTTACCTTGGCGCTTCGTCCAAGTGGATGTGCTTATTTCAGGAAGGCACTGGTAACACCAGTCTAAAGGGTTGGTCTCGTTAGGAGCGAAGCAGTAGCCATTTATTATGCAAGAATTTCCCTGTAATGTATGATGGTGTAAGTACCAATAGATCCACATAACAACTCATGACCACAGACTTAGATACAAAATACAGCGACGAGCACTTTTTTCAGTTTTGATTCCTTTCTCTTGTTGCAATTTATGTTAATTTTGTTTTTTTAATTCCCGTGTTTGCATAATTTTTTTAAATATATATTTTTAGTCAGCTTTCTATTAATATTCTATTATTTCTATATGTTATTTCTATCATTTCTATGTTTGTTTGTTTTGCTACTGGCCCTCGCAAGACCTTTAATGAGACAATCTGATTTTTTTATTTTAGTTATACACCTTTGTGTCGTCATAGTCCAATGATAATTAAAGTTAGATAAAGTACACTTGCCTTAAATAAACAACCGGACGAAATATTGCAGCTCATGCAAGCTGAATCATATGATATGAATGTGAGATTTTCTTGGCTTTTGTGTTCACCATCGTTGGACACAGATATTATCAATCCCGAGGCAGCCGTTCCTTCGTTAGTTTCTGAGAAATAGCCTTGCGTGACCTGCGACTCTGGTAAATAGCATTCTACAAGCACCAAGTCAGTCATCACACCAGGGAAACTTAGCTCTGTACCATATGGTTTCCAAGAGCTATTTAGGACCTACATTTATCCATACGTCAACACGTTAATGAGACCAAAGAATAAAACACCTAACAAAACATTTCATTAACAAGACAAAACGCTGCGGTGAGTATACAATAAAAGCAGGCCCTGAAATGTGATAAAAAGCCGGAGCAATTGAGGGAAAATTTAAGTGCTTAATTATTGGTCTTGTACACTGCTCCGATTGACACAAAGAGCCTACCACTAAAACAAGAATGATAATTTCAGACCTTGAATTCGTTTATATGACAGGTCAGGTTTGTAGAATTCCTGAAATCGACGCCAAAGACAGTCACCTTCTTGCATGATCGTTTACGCCTGTCGCACAAACCATCCTCTTGCAACCTAGAAAATAATCACTGTTGGTGAAAATCTTAAGAACATGCATCACTCTTATCCAAAAGATGGGGTGGTTTTTTTTTTTTTTCTCGCATTTTCTTAACTTAGTTACAGACACTGATTGATTGATAGACGTGTAGAATATAAATAGAATACATGCACCTTCCTTGGTTTTTCCCTATTTGTTTTTTTGCAAAATAAGTCTACCCCTTCCCCCCTCCCCCAATCCCCTTCCGTTTTCGAAAAAAGAAGAAAGTATGTATCTAATAGAACTTTATTCAATCAAATCAGAAAAAAAAAATTAAAGAAAGGGAGACACCACATGTTAGCCCTATCGAGGGTGTTTCCAAAATAATCATCTAGTTAAACATGTATTTGAATATACAAAATCTAAAACATTAAGTTGCGATTTAACTATATACAATACTTACTCTGAAAACTATTTACAATAAAATTTAAAAAGGTAATTCTTGACTTTGGTTGATCATCTAGAAGATGATCAGCAGGCAAAAACTATAGGTTTTGATTAAGGGGTTATTTACATGGAGATAGGGTCACCCTCCTAGGAAGGTTACCCTAGCAGAAGGGTCAAAACATAGCCCTCCTGTATATGCGAACTCGACCGCACGGGTTACCCTGGGGTAAGGCTAGCGGAATGGCTCCGTCGCAGAGCTTCGTAAACAACAAAATGGCGGGCAACGGTTCTTTTTTGGTGCTACATTCAATTTTCCTCTCTTCAGCATCTTGACTGTGGTTTCTCAGTGGTATGGCCGACTATTATTATTAATACAAATAGCTCAAAGGCATCGTCAAGGCCTTCTGACATTTCAAGCCGCTAACCAATACTCTACAGTATTCTATAGCGTTAGCAAGACTACGCAATCAGCTAAGAAGAATTGTTTGTCATCGAGGAAGAGTTTGGAGTTTGGAGGAAGCCAGGAAAAACTGAATAGTGGTGGAAGAATCTTTTGGACGGTAGTCTTCCAGATACTGAATGGAGAAAAACATTTAGAATGGATCGTGAGGCTTTCATGAAAATAGCAAGTGATTTACGATCATATCTTCAGCTGCGAAGAAGCCCTCGAGGAAAAGATGTGTTGTCGGCTGAAAAACCATTTGCCATTACTTAAGTTTTTTCGGTGCTACTGGATCGCTTGTAGGCTAAGCTTTTCTTTTTGCGGTCTTCTTACTGTTGTTGTTTGGTCGCCGGCTCGTCCTAAGCGTCGAAGAAATCTGAGGCGCTGAGGTTTGATCTACATTTGAGACGTCCGTAGACACATTACATTCTTATACATTATTCTTATCACTTTGATTCTCGTGTGAAGGTGTAGTCTGATCGTCCGGGTGAGTGTAGTCCTGAGAAGGACTGTTGTCGATGGTAGTGACTGACGTTTCGATAACCTGTGCGGAAGTCATCATCAGAGTCAAGTGAATGATTGCTGTCAGTAGATGTCTACTGACAGCAATCATTCACTTGACTCTGATGATGACTTCCGCACAGGTTATCGAAACGTCAGTCACTACCATCGACAACAGTCCTTCTCAGGACTACACTCACCCGGACGATCAGACTACACCTTCACATGTTACCCCCGGGTTCAAGCCATTTACTGCACTTTGATTCTCATTTGCGATAGCTTCTACTTGATATCTTAGGAATTATTTGCCAGGTCGACAAGCACGAGACGCTATTTTGTTTTTGTGATTGGAAGTTTGGCCCGCAAAATACATCATTTGACGTCATTTGATGCAATTCGAGATAGCCTAGGGTCACCCTACCTTGAGCGTTTGCTTTGCTTGAGTAAACAAAAACCTGGCTCTCATAGGAGGGTCACCCTACCTAATTGATAGGGTAACCCTACCCTGGGGTGACCCTATCTGACATGCAAACATAACCACGAAAAAAAATAGAGATGGGTCACTCCACTAGTAGGGTGACCCTCTCAGGAAGATGAGCATATCTCCATGTAAACAGGCCCTATGACAGACGTGTGTTCAACGGAGTACCTGTAAATCTCAGGTTTCTGATAAATGGACATCGAACAGTCAGAAGCTGTGTAGTCTTTGTAACAAACACATGAGCCATTGACACATTTTCCATTGAATGTACAATCATTTGGACACAGCAGCTCCGCTACTTGTTCAACAAATGCTTCAGCAGCAGGATTTCTTTCATCACTTCCGTTAACTGGTATGGATAGATTTTTGGCCCCTAGTACTCCACACTGTTCGACTAACAATGACACACTGCCACTTGCAAAGGAGAAGTCTCCCGTGAGCTTTCAAAAAAAGTAGAAAAAAAGACGATAAAACATAAATATGAAAAAAAGAAAAAACAAACAAAACACAGCTAGTATAAAGACGCGCATAGAACACAAATCAAAAAGACTATTCTAAAAAGAATGAGACCAGCCTCCTTAGCTGATTAGCTTAAACCAAGGGCGTTCGGGGGCTCAAGTCTTTAATTGGGAGCTATCTCCGTTCATTATTGGCTTTGCATTCTTATCACAATAACTTAGAGCGCTATTACGTTATTAGCACGTAACATGTTATTCAATAGAATTGCTGATTTTGTAAGTGGAAAACTTGTAAAATCTTAAACTTCTTAACATGTCCTGTTGAAAGCCGTGCATTATAAAGCCGCATTAGTTGTCAAATGGATGGTTTCTGTAAAAGATATTTCCTTTTCTTTTTATGTACGCCTTCTGTTCTAATTTATTGGAATTCTTCCTATAAATAGATTGAATTCTCGATACATAGATTGTGGTGACTTCCTAAAAGAAACAGGGCCCGGACTATGTTTTTTTCTTCCGGAAGGCATTCGCTAGGTAACGAAGTAACCTAAATGGAATAAAGTAGACAAGATAACTGAAATTTAAGACAATTATCATAATAACGAATGCTACTAATTGCCAAATGCCATTACGCAAAATTTCGGCCATCAATTCCTTTAAGCGCCACAAGCTCGTTTACAGTTCGCTGGCTCACCTCAACATCTACCGAACAAGTGTTAACTAGCTGCTGTACATTGACGCCGACCTTTGCACAAAGCTTTCCAAGCTCTGTATCGGATATTCTCGTGGCACAATAACGTGTAGCGTTTTCCTTTGGAACTTGTTTGTTGGCTACTGATCTCTTGAACCGTGGATGTAAATGAAGTGTTCGCTTGTAGACTTGTATATCTTCATCAGTGATATCATCCGAGAAATGGATATCTCTTTTATTTCTGTCACATAAGCTTGAAGGTGAAGCTTGAGGCTTCAGTGTGGACATATTATCTTCTTTCACAAGTGTAGGAAAAGCAGCTTTGAAGACACTTTTGCAGGAAGGCGGTCCACCGTTTCCCTCTCCTTCTTTCAGGCATAAACATGCTGAGGAATATGTCACGTCACTATCTTGAACATCCACAGGGAGCGTGTCAAAGTAGCTTCTACCGACCTCTAGCCTGAAAAATAAAAGTCAAATACCTATAGAAGGTGTTAAAGAAAGCTCTAAAAAGAAATAAAGGATTGTGCCCCGAAAAAAGAAATGGAGGGAGACTGGTTAAGAATCGATTGCTAGCTTCACTACAATGGTGTAGGGATACAACAATCCGATCCATTCAAGAGCATGAATCTGTAGAAAATAAAGCCTGAGCTTCTAATCGAGTCTTTATTCAAATTTACGTAGGAATCTTCCATAAGCAGCTGAAATGTGTGTGGAGATTTGACTTGCGGCAATGACTTGGTAGAATAAGTCGTAAGGGAATATCAAAATCCAGAAAGAAAAGCAACTTCACTTTAACGGTCATTATCTTTGAAATCTGGAAAAAAACGTGCTGACGTAGCATTTTTCTAAGTGATGAAATTCCAAACTTCTCTGAAGCTCCTCTTAAATTTTCTCTTCACAGGGAAAACCAATATTAGGAGCTTTGAGATTATTAACCGATACGGACTCTACAAAGCGTGCTCGATGTTTTAATGCAGACACGAATAGAAGTAAATCATCAAACTCCACTGTAGGCACCTTGGTTACCAATATTTGCTTTAATGTAGAGAGAAAATGTTTGTTTTGAAGACACCAGAAATATGCTGATCGAATACTGGGCGCTTTATGGGTGCGGAGAAAAAATGACACCTAAAAAATTTAAAATTGTGCGAGCCAAGATAAACCAGAAGTAGGAAGAGGCAACTTCTACAGCAAATTTGCTTTACTACCAATCTGATTAAAAATAGGAAAAATCATTTTGAAAAGAATTTACTTGACGGATGTTCATTGAGGTTCCCGTTTCATACCTTTCCTTGAAACCTGCGTCAGTTATATATTTGTTGTAAGGTCCTGGGTACATGCACAATCCTCCTTCTTGCTTTGTGTCAGTTGCTCTCGGCGTCTTGATGACAACATCAAGTCCCCAATAATTTCTTCTTATCACTACCTTTGCACCCGACGGAAACAGTACCTTCGTAAAATTCGAGAAAGCCAAAAATGTAACTGCATAGTTTGCACTACAAAGGGCAAGTAAAACATACCAATCCGACGATGTGTATTAAAACGGACATTTTGTCGTCACGATCAAAAGTCACTTTTAATTTTAATTGTCCTTGGCTTTGAAATCCATTAAAAATTTCTTTAAAAAAAAACGATGATCCTTCCTGAGACTCTTTTGAGCTCATTTAGCAATCATGTACTTACCTCATATTTGCCATTTACTCCGGGTATAACCCTCTTTATGGATATCCCTGGTGATAAGCATTTCTTGCTGCGTATTCTTACTGTAATGGGCGTTCTCTTGTCCCGAATCATAAGATCGTTACAACAGCTGAACTCAATTACGTCATTGTGATCCCTGAGGACTGCACCACAGTTGCAACTAATTCTTCCCGCTCCATTATGTCCACCCTTTGGAAATGGCCTACCGTCACAGGCCCACTGCCGCGTTTGAACCTATAGATATAACAACAGGACACAATTTTCAATATTTCCATCAACTCCAAGAGATATAAACAAACAGAAGCCTGTGGTTTGATCCATATTGATTAAGCTGGGCCTATAGCTTGTTTGTTTGTGTTTGTGTATCATTTGTCATATAAATATGTGTACTAGTTTAAATCCCAAAACCCTTTTACTACTGTTTAACCAAAATAAACTTTGACAAGCGCCCGCCGGAAGGGTTTTTTTTTTTTTCACTGTTTCATTTTTCATAAAGCCCTTTTGTGATTGATTCGATTCTTAGGTTATGTCGTAAGGTTCATTTCGAAACAAGAGGCCAAAATACAACCTCCAAAGAAACCACAAACCCTTACCTCAAATTTTCTCTCCACGTTCTTGTAAAGAATAAAGTCACCGAGACCCATGAAATGGAAATATCTAGTATGTGAGGAAAAATTCTTTCCTTTTTTAGTTCATCTAAGAAGCGTGATAACTCTATTAAGGGGGATGATGGTATTCTTATTTTAGCGATTCAAACCTTAGAATACTGAGTGCTAGGAAAATGCAACAAAAAACTACTTTCTTGCAGCGATCAATTAAATTCACAATTAGTTTTACCAATCTTGGTGAAAAGAAATGCGTCTACATATAGCAATTTGACTTGGAATATAAAAAACAAACAAACAAAAAAACAACGCTCTTAATCTTTGTTACAAACCCATTCGTTCCAAGAGCAGTGATATGAGGATCTGTAACTGATGTACAAGTCTGTATGTTATCTCCCTTCGGCTTGAGGACAGTGACCTGAAAGAGAGATGTTGAAAAAATGAAGTATTTATTAGGTACAAGGCAAGTAAGTATCAAGACCTTGGAATTGTTGGAAAATTATAGGAACACATCTAACCTGCCACATTGACGACTGTAGATTTCATCAAAAGTGTTGCAAAGCTAAGTATATCAATTTAAAGGCCGATGTTCACAGAAATATTTCCTTTACATACCCATATAGTTGGAAGTCCAGTTTTTGGATTCCAAACGTTACTGTGGATGTTCATCTGTGGAACTATGGCTTTAAGACCTTCTGTAACTTTGCCATCTGGACAGGCTGCCTTTATTGCTATGGTGACATTTTTTGTACCTTCCAACAGGACCCCGCATTGCTTTTGGTCAACCAATTGTATTTCTTTTGGGAGCCAGAAACTGACCATTGGCCACAGGCCATTGTGATTTTTACGAGCTGGTATTTGCGGTATCAAAGTTATCGTCTGGATGCTGAGGGAACATGTTTGCACTTGCAATAAGGTAGTCCTAGGATATACCTGGAGAGAACAAAATGAAATGAGTTGTAGTTTGTTTCAACTCTTAAGTTGTGGTATTACAAAATAGTTACAGAATCCCTAGAATCAAGAACATGGATTTCAAGCTTTACATCCAAAAGCGACGTAAGATATGCTATACAATATGTCTTCTACGAAATATGCTTTGTTGACCAAGCGCGCGGTCAAGATGGCTGGATTTTGGCCGAATAGACCAAGGCTAATATCCAGCCATCTTAACCGAACAAGCTTGGTCAATATAGGATTTATAATACGGCGAAAAAATAGTTCCCTTTAATAAGAATCAAGATGACTTTTCGAGATCCGGGAAAGAAAGGTACTGGGTATGTAGCAAAATAAACCCAAGAGGGTCATTTAATTTTTCCTTTGTTTTGACTGACTTCTGCCGCTTTTTGCGACTAAGTCGCCGACATTGTCCAAAAGCTACGAACTTTGTAAGTCCGTTCCAGGCACCTTTTATCTTGCGCAGGATCAAAGCGAGCAGTCCCGAGCGGGCAAGATGGGCCCACCAAAAAATAATAAGACAACAACTGGCTAAAAGACGGCTTCCGAAAAAGGGCGTGGAAAGCATGAACCGGAGACCATGAAAAAAATTCTAGAGGAGTTATATGCAATAGCTCGTATGAAAAACAAGGAAGTCTACAAAAGTGATAGCTTTGTAATGGTTACTGCTTTCAACCGATAGCTATCAGAGAAAGAAAGCAAACGCTCTCCATCATTATCGAGAGACGTTTTAAGTTCTGGAGGGAAAAGCCAACTACTCCGGCAACTTTCCCGCAACCAGCCAAAGGCAATCGGCCGAACCAGTAAACTATTACATGAAATAAAACAGCCAA